GCCTTGTAAAATTTGTTCATCTTCATTATCACGATCAGTTCGAAGTAGAAGATGAGTTTGCCGTTGAAATTGTGTAGCAAGTATAGATACAGCTTTACAATGATTACTATGTAATGAACCAGCTGTTATTATATGATGACATTTTGGATGTGAAAGTATATCAGCAAAAATAAATTCAAGTTTTCGAAGTTTATTTCCACTTGAATATGTATCAAGTTGATCATCACGTTTAATATAAATATTAACTGATGATAATGAAGATAAACATAATTTTTCTACAGATGTTTCACGTTTGATTAATGATAATCGATATTTTGGTATAAATTTAGAATTAATATATTTACTATTAATTGGTATTGAGTATGTTTTAAGATGAGATGATATAGATAGTGTTGATAATTGGCGATACATACATAAACAAGAAAGAAATAAATCTACAAAAAAAATAGAGATTTTATTTTCATCTATATTTCAAAAAAAAATCGTTTATTCTACAGTCTTCAAGAGAATATTTGACTATCTCATGTAATTTATTTAATATGAAAGATATTGAAAGCTTTTCTATACTATCGATTGATCTGAAGCAGAGATGTCCATCGCGGCTCAAAATCTGCCGCTGCCGCGCCGCGGCCAAAATCAAACAAAGCTGCCACGCCGCTCCCGCGACGCGATGGCCTGTTAAAAAAAGCTACCGCGCCGCTGCGGCGCTGGTATTCGAAAAAATGTTTTGATTTTCAAGGCTTTGACTGGTTTGAAATAGAACTGATGCCGCTAATCGATCAGATTCGCTAAGTCTTACAGTATAGCATACATAAACATGCAGATTCTGTGCAAATTCATGAATTTTTGAAATTTTTTCCTAAAAAGCTGTCGCCGCCGTGACGGCAAAATAAAAATCTCTCCCGCGCCGCGATAGTTTTTGGAAAAAATCTGCCGCTGCCGCGCCGCCACCGCCACGGCGGCAGCGGCAGCGGCGCGATGGACATCTCTGATCTGAAGTGCTATTAACAATGAACGAAAAGATAATGTACAGTCAGAAGTATTTGCCGGCGGCGAAATTCTGAAACGGACGAACCACACAGTAGTATCTTCAAAAAATTGATTTGCAACATCGGAAACTTTTAAAAATCAAATATCTAGTTTTATGTCACGACTAATATATCTTAAAGATTTCATAAGTTCTATAAATAAAAAAAAAATCTTTTTGTTTCTCATTCAAATCTTTAAACATAACAAAAGAAAACCAACTTAAAAAAAAATGTTTTCAAAAGAATGTGGAAAACAAATTTAAATATAAAACTAAAATTAAACTATTCCTGTTTATTTTCTGCTAAACGTTGTCGAACTTTCTTCAAATGAATACGTATTTCATCAGCTAATTGTTCTCGTGGAATAACAAACTAAATATTTGAAAATATTTATTATTAGAAGAAAAAAAAAATATAATCTAACCTCATTTCGAGTAATAACATCACGAATTTTAATTGTACCAGTTTCTAATTCTGAACTACCAATAATAACACATAATTCAATTTGATTTTTTTCACAATATTGTAATTGATCAAGTAATTTTGGATTATATTTATATGCCATTTCTGTCTATAATAATTAATAAATTTATTTTTACAAAAAATAATAAAACAGTAACATAAATATATATATAATCTAACTTTAAAACCATTGTCCCATAGATAAGTACATAATTTCATTCGTTCTTCTAAGAAATTCTTTTCTGCTGATGCTACATAAACTTCAGTTTCAATTGTTTTTGATTGAATTTTTGATTCCTATGAATAAAATAATAATATAGACAAATATATATTATATATATATCTATTACTCTTAATTGATGTTCTTTGATAGAAAATATTCTTTCTACACCAATACTTAAACCAATACAAGGTATACGTTTTTGTTTAGGATCAAGTTTTTCTACAAGTTCATCATATCTTCCACCACCAGCAACACTTCCAACAGCTATTTGATCATCATCTAATTGTGGATTATATTGATATTGTGTAAGAACAGCTTCAAATATAACACCAGTATAATAATCTAAACCACGAGCTAATTTTAAATCAAATATAACCTAGAAAGAAGTTTTTTTTTTTTTCTGTGGTTAATAAAATAATATTTGAAAATTTAATTATTTTTGTTTTACTTTATCCATAATGTTAAATAATGTTAAATAACGAAACAATAATTCAAGATCATTTAGAGCTTCGATAGCTAATTTTTCAGAAGATAATTGTGAATCATTACGAAGTTGTTCAATTAGATTAACATTGCCTTAATAAATAAATTATACAATACTAGTTAAAAATATAAAAGACAAACATTCAACTCAAATTCAAATAGTAGCCAATAAAGTTCTCTATGAAATGTATTTCATACCAAAATTCCATAAAAAAGTTATAAGAGAAAAGCTTTTAAAAACCTAAACACAATAGTTTTCAGGTCCAATAAGACTATATGAAAATTAGTTTTGAACCGTATTATCTTCAAGTGTACAGAATTCTAAATACAATGAGAAGTTCTTAATTTTCACACAAGCTTCAGGAACTTAAAAACTACCGTGTTTGACTTTTCAAAATCTTGTATTCATAGTCTAAATTCTTTTATGGAATATATCGGACAGAGAACTTCAGTAGCTATTACAATCTAATCAAAAAAAACATCGAGCTTATATTTTTGATCAGTACTATAGTAAAGGATCATTTGGGACACAGCATTCGAAGGAAGCGCTTGTTGATCAGGTGGATCTTTCGCCCGATAGAATGCTGACTATAGTGTGATGTACATCTACTCTTGTGACGAGTCAGTATATATGAAGAACTCAAGTAGATGAACGAAAGATCTCTGTATCAAGCTGGCTTTCTGCCCAGAGCTACAGCTAGAATTCCTCATAGAGAAGATATTGGATTATTGAATCTATTGCTATGTAGTCGAAACAAGTGAATATTCTGTCTTTCATCTATTATATACAAATTCCGAGAATGTATTTGATAGGCTCTACATTTTGAATAATTTAATCAATGAAAATTGATATACCATGCATATGAAGATATCGACTAATTTTATCGACTATTTCCGGTGATAAACCTTTTTCATTTATCATTTCATTGCGAACAATTTCCCATGGATTCTACAATAGTAAAAGTAGATTTGAAAAAAAAACCCATATACAAATTTTTAATTACTTTATCAAGTTTATCAACAGTTGTACTTAATGAACGAAAAAGTTTATTTGGTACACCACATACAGTGAAAATAGCATCGAGTAATTTACGATGATTGATCTAAAAATAATAAAAACTTAATTTTTTGTTTTCTAACTGTTACATAAATAAATTCTAATCAATTTACATAAATTTTATATTGTCCTAAAGCAAGTTTATCAAGAATTTCTCCAACAATTTTAATACATTCAGCATCAGGTATCATTGAATCATAATATCCAGCAATATCAAAATCACATTGATAAAATTCTCGATAACGACCACGTGTCATTTTTGGATTATCAAGTCGATAAACTTTTCCTATATGATAACGTTTCATTGTAGAAATTTTATTTTGTGAAATATAACGTGCAAATGGTACAGTTAAATCATAACGTAAAGCTAATGTTTCTTCATTATCATGATTTTTTAATTCATAAATAAGTTTAGAATCTTCACCATATTTTTCTTTAAGAAGTGTCTAATTTTTAAAGAAAAATGAACATTACAAAACAAAAAAACGAGAATCAAATAAAATTTTTACAGTTAATTCCATAACTGGTGTATCAATTGTATTAGCACCATGTTGTTTAAAACAATTGATTATAATATGAAAAACTTCTTCACGAATTTTCATTTGATTTGGATGATAATCACGAGTACCCTAAAGAAAATATTTATAAGATATTTATAATATATAATAAAATTTTACTCGTGGTATTTTAAGAATTTTATCATTATTTGTTATATTTTCTTTTCTATTAATTAATTGATGATTAGATTGTTCTTTTTTTAATCTAAGTAATTTAGTTACAGTATCATTGATCTGAAAAAAAAAGAATATTTATAAGTTTGTTTCTTTTTTTATTGTTCTATTTACTTTTGATTACCTGACGAGATCTGATACGATAAAAAGCTTTTTGATAGTACAAACAAGTATTTAAAATTAGTCTCATGTTTTTTATTTTAATGAAAAACAAAACAAGAAATAGTTTTTGTTTTTTTTTATAAATAATATCTGCAATATGAAATGAAATCAATTGTATATTATTAAAAAAAAATCCAATTGATAAGTTTTTTTTTTTTTGTGTATTTATTTGATGAAAGATCAGATGATTATTATTAATTATTCATACTTTTCATAAATGAAACATTAATAATAATAGAAAAAAAGATTAATTTGTTGTTAATAGAAAAATAACTGAACATTAGAAAGATAAATTAAACCAACAGAACTTTACATAAGATAGTTTTTTTTTTTCGAATTTCATTTGACAGAAAAGAACGAATTTATTATCGGATTTTTTAAAGATTTTTGAATTGAGGTCTATACTCTATAGTAATGGTTAATGAGAACCAATCAAATATATTTTAGAAGCGACGCGTATACAACAACACTGATCAGTGGTGATGGTGATGATGGTTGTAAAAAAGAACGAAAACGCGCATCGCTGCTCATTTAAATAAAAGGGAAGGTGATAGTCACTTGAAGTTATGCTTGATTGACTTATTGATGAGTTTACTTTTATCATTTTCTTTTTTCAATATTGAATTATTTCTTTCAGATTTCTTTATCGTTGTCTTGTTCTTTCGTTCTCTTGTTAGTCATAGAAATATTCATTTGTCCTTGTCTTCATATTTGTATACAACGCTTGTTTCATTAATGTATTTCATAATTGAATTGCTAAAAAGAAACTATATAATTTAATTGAATATTTAAAATCAATACAATTATTATTTTCTATTAATGATTATAAATTTTTCAAATCTTGAAATTAAATAATGACAACTGAAAAAGAAAATGAACTTGAATCATCATCTTTAACATCAGAAGAAAACTTATTGAAACTTGATACATTAACATTAGAACAATTTGCAATTCAATCCAATCAAACTTTATCATCTATTATTGAAAATACTACACAAATAACTACAATTGATTCAACATCATTAACAAATATAGAAAAAGAAATTAATGGTATAACAGATATAAAATCTAATCAAATATCATTATTAACAGATTCTAATCAAATTTCATCTATACATTATATTGATTCATCATCAATTGAAGATCAAGAAACAAAATCATCATTATCTGATATAACAAATTCTTTAAATCGTAAAATATCATTATCAGAATCGGATTTACTTTCATCATTACATCGAAATATAAATAAACAACAAACAATTGATAATCAATCTGATAATGATATAATAGATGATATACTTTTTATTGAATGGGATAAAGAACGAAATTTATTTCAAGATTATATTAATTCATTACGTAAAGAAATTCGTGTTCTTTTACAAGAACGTTTAGATTATCAAACACAAACACATACTGAATTTAAACATACGAATGATCATCAAATAAAAATTGATTTATTACAAAAATCATTAGAAGAAAAAAATTTTATTATTGAACAATTACAAATTGAATATGAATTAATGAAAGAAAAAAATATTAATTTATCACGTAAAATATCTTATTTAGAATCTGATACAAAATCTCAAATTAATATTATTGATGAATTAAAACAAAATTTAACTGATTTAACTGTTGATTTACAAAATCATATACTTATTAAACGACGTTTAGAAATGTCAATTAATAATTTAGAAAATAATTGTCAACTTCTTGATATTGAACGTATTAAATTAACAAATGATGTTAAAGATAATCAACATAATAAACAAGATTTAGAAAAATTATTACAAAAAGCTAATGTACGAATTGCTGAACAAGGTAATCTTATTAAAAAAGAAATTTAAACTAATATTAAAATTTCTTTCATCAACAAATACTATCATAAATATAAGTTTTCAATCGACTTTAGAACTCATCAAAGTCGTCATTTGTATTGTTTTTTCGAACGTTATATCTATGCATATAGAGAAATACTCACAACAGAAGAAATAAGAATAGTGAAAACAGTAATAAAGTTATTCTTTCAGGTTTGTTACTCTCTTGTAATTCACATGATCATCCTTGACTATCCAAAGAAAGCACGAACAGCTAACAAAAGTTAAACCTATATTGAAACAGTCAATGTATATCAGAGATGTCCATGGCGGCGCGGCAGCGGCAGGTTTCTTAAAAACTCGTCGCGGCAGCGGCGTGGCAGCGGCAGAGTTTTTAAAAGCTCATCACGGCAGCGGTGCGGCAGCGGCAGCATTTTTTTTCCAGGACATTGAAAAACTGCATGAATTTAATAGAATTTCATTGTTTATAAATGAAACACCCCGAGACTGAATGAATCTGATGGACTAGTACCAATATTTCTGGTCCAATACAGTTGCAGCAGTGAAAATCGAAACACTTTTTTGAAAACCATCGCGGCAGCGGCAAGTTTATTACGCATCGCGGCGCGATGACTTTTTTTTATAAACCATCGCGGCGCAGCAGCGGCGCGGTAACTTTTTTATTCTAATGCCGCGGTGTGGCAGCGGCAGAGTTTCAGCCGCGATGGACATCTCTGATGTATATAGGATTATTTGCAAATCTAGACATTTTTCCAAATACGCGATCATTCATAGCCATCTAGAAATATCCTCATGAACAGCCAACACCGTTCACAATCACACAAAACAAAAATTTCAAAAAATATTTTTAGCTGCCAGATACTCAGCATAGAAAATTTTCTGACTTTTTTGAATGATCATGAATGGTGATATCTGTTCGTGTACACCTTGGTTTTATATAATCGTACCACTCACAAGAGCTCAAGTTTCAATCTTGAGTCTGAGTGTTTAAATAAAAGTCCGTATTCGATTTGAATATCCTCACTTGATGTACTTCAGTGAATTGCTATAAATACTTCAATCTTTTGTATTGAAAATTTTAGGTTCAACAATTGAAATGCTTCGTTCAGAAAATGTTCAAGTACGTTCACAATTATCAACAATTCAACGTCGAATGTTTCAAGAAAAACAACAAATAATGGATTATTTACGTCAAATTGAAGATGATCTTATTGAAAAAGAACGACTTAAACAACATGAATTATTATTACGTCAAGATTATGAACAATTACAATTAATTAATAAACAAGATCAATATGATATTCAACAATTAAAAAATTCTATTTATCAAGATCAACAAACATTAGAAAAATTACAACAAGAATATTCACAATTATTAAAAATTAAAGATAATGAAAAATTTCAATTAGAATTAGAATTAAATAATTATAAATCAGAAATAAAACGTTTATATTCACATTTTAATATAAATATTGATTCAATTGAACAATTAATACCAATTTTAGAAGATCGATTATTACAGGTTTCTAACTTATTATTAAATTTTTCAGAGAACACCCAACAAGAGGTTTTGAAACTGAAACATCGATCAAAATTTTAATTTTTAATTTTTTTTATATACATTCACAAGGTCATTATCTAAAACCTTCAAACCCAAATTTTGTCCTATTTCGTTTTTTTATGGAAAAATTATCCTTGATTGACTTTTCAACACTACCTATCTACTGTCAACAAAATAATGATTAATTATATCATAAATGTCTACGGGGATAAATACTTTCACAAGTCAGAGATTTGTTTTATGTAATATATCAAAAGATAGATCACTAAAAGCTAGAAAAAAAAATGAGTTATTTAAAATATTTTATCCCATTAATGTATTTACCTTCGAGGCAATTTGAGATTTATATTATCAATAAACAAGTAAACAATGTCAAGAAAAACAATCTTGTACATTCTTTCAACAGCCTTTATTTCAAATGAAGATTTCGATAAGAAAATTTTTTTGTGCAATCAGATAATAATCATTCATATCGATAAAATATCAAATACTGATCCTAGACCCTCATTATTAATTGTAATTTAGTAGTATAGAGTTAACCTTCGATATCGTACATTTATTATGAACCTTCTAAATCTACATTAAACGAATGCTCTATATACTACTAGATAACGATTGATAAGGAATTTCAATTCTATAGCTGTCATCAGAGTTCTATGTTTTATCAATGTAGATGATTATTATCTGATTTCGTAATAGAATATTTTTCGTTTTTTCAACAATTCAACTTGACGTTATTTGATTTCGAAAAATGATAGTAAGTATTTATGAAACAATTAAGTACTATTTTATTTGATAGTGAATAGATAGATGATGTTGAAAAGTCGATCAAGACTAATTTTACTATGAAAAATTTTAAATTTTGTATACTGTAGTGTTTGTAAACAATTTAAAACAAATGTTTCTTTAGACTTCTCCTATATCATCAACATCAGAATTCAATAATGAATATGAACAACTTCGAAAAGATTTTGAAAATTTAACTATTCAATATAAACAATTAGATGAAGCTAATCAAACATGGAAACTAAATCAATTAAGAACATTACATGATCGATTTAAATTAGATAATATTAATAATTTATCGTTTGATGATACTATACAACAAATTGAAAATCGTTTCAATGATTTACAAAATCAATATAATACAATTTTTAATCGAGTCATTGAATTAGAAGGTTTATTTTATGATATCAAAAAGTATATTAATAATATTTCTTTTTTACTTATTTAGAAATAAGTACGAAACAAACCGGTGATAATAATATTCAATCAATTGAAAATCAACGTAATGATGAACTTCAACAATTACAAGAACATATTGTAATATTAACAACTCAATGTGCTCAATTTGATGAAGCTAATCGTGCATGGCAACAATTTCAACAAGCTCAACTTGATAATTTTCGAAATAAATTTAAACATATTTTATTTATTGATAATAATTTATCACTTGATCAAATAGGACAATTACTTATTGATTTTATTCAAAAACAAGATAAACATTCCGAAATATTATTATCCGATTCAATAAAACAAATACATATGACACCATCTGAAGAAGAATCTATTCAGAATCTTATATCTGTTCAATCAGCATCATCATTTATCGATAAAGATATTGAAGAACTTCGTCAACTTCTTAATAATAAATGTACTGAACTTGATGAAGTTAATCATGCATGGAAACAATTTCAACAAGATCAAATTCAAAATTTTAGAAATCAACTTCATGATTATTTTACAATAGATGAAAATCTTTCATTTGATCAAATACCTCAACTTATTATTGATCAAATTACTAAAGATCGAGATGATTTTAATCAACAATATGAAATATTACAAAAAACAAATGATGAACTTCGATCAGGTTTATTTATTTATTTTTT